TCCTTCCATCCATCCATCCCAGGCTGAAGCTGATCTACAGAAAACAGACTACAGGTTGCATGAAGTGAAGACTCTTCTTTCTCCTTTGACTGTTGAGAGAGAACAGACAATACAAGCATCGTTTAATCACAGTATTTCACCTGAAGGGGAGAAACAGGTTAGACAACATTTAATGTAGACATGGATGAATTCATTCTAACATAACAACATTATGGGCCTTAATTCCACTGGATTTACTATAAGCAGTTCATCTGTTTCCTATGTTTCATTCAAAATACAGATGTATCTAGCCTGGAATACATATAGAATAGGTGTCACGGGCTTAATTATGGCTCTCATTCATTACTCACTGGCAAAAGGAGCAAGCTGCATATAGACAGTTGCTCCAAAATGTGACAACATACTGTACCATCATGGCAATCAAATGGGAAGAATTAATTTCTGGAACCTCTTTAATGAGGTTCTATGTCAATTGCAGTTGCTAGATTTTAAAGGTGAAAAGCTAAAATTTTAAGGTAACACTTAAAAATACTAACATGCCAGTTGTTTAAAATATTTTAATGTCTTGTATTTGATTATCACTAGCTAGTTCTCCTTTCATTGCTACCTCTCAAAATACATAAATTTTAAAAAAACATTTAAAATTGCAAATGTAGTGCTGGTTTGAAGTCATGCTGAAGGATAATGCATTAAGAGTAGAAAACTGGTTTTGGTAAAAGAGAGAAAGTAAAGGGAATGTTGCAGTGCACTATACTGGGTGGCTACAGGTGCTGAACAGTGACCAGTTCAGACCATGTTACCAGAATTTGCTAGAAAAAGCAGTGCTAAGCATGCCTAGTAGTTCCTGAATGCAGAAATGATTGTATTCAGAAAGATACTTCCTGAAGACATTTTTATTAGACTGCTAGCAAAAGCTTGCTCTTGAACAAGTAGTTTTTCCAATTTTATTTCAAACTGGACTGATTTGCTAATTGATCATTGACATACCAAGAGAATCAGGGCTGGGCACACTTTCCTCTTTATATTCTTATATTCTTTGTATTTATTGTTCTCTTCAACTGTGAATTAACTGTGGTTAGCAAGACTGTCTCCGTTGTCACTCTTCATTTTGTTGTTAAAATACTCTGGCTTTTTCACTTTTGGTGTATAGGATAAGCAGTGTCCGTCTCAGCAAAACCGTTTTGGTCTTTTTCCTTTTTATGGGAAGGGCCAGTGTTTAAAAAATTAAATAACAAAATTTAAAAGTCTATTTTTCTAGTCTAGAACCTTTTCTGTACAAAATGAAGTGTAAACAAGCAGAAGAAGAAAATTTATGTCAGTGAGTCCTCTTAAAGAAAGAATAGTACAGTGGCTAGCCTCTGGTTCAGATGATGGATGCAAGAAAGATTAAAATTTAAATATGCCCTAGTACAGTATCTTCAGTATACAGGTCCTTTCTTCAGATTGGTCTGAGACCCCAGCAGTGTGCTAGAAATGTTGCAGTAGTCATTCTTGGCCTTTCAATAAGCAACTGAGATGTGAAACACACCAGCCTGGAAAATCTTGCTTATAACTTATATTCTAAGTATGACTTAGGTCATGTTTATCTAACTAGAGCTTGCTAATAATATCATACAAGTGCACAGGAAAGGAAGGAGTGCTTCAAGTAATTCTGGTTTATTAGGGTTTTTAGGATCTTCTCTCTAGACCCATTTCCACTTACAGAAATCAGGAACAGTTGTATTTCTAGTTTAAACTGTGAGGGTTCATGTGTATATTGAAGGCTGAGATGAAGTCTTGGGCCCCAAAATTCACATCTGGGTGTTCCATTGCTATCTACTGGTGCCTTTTCCTGACTCACCTTAACAGCCTCGGAGAGATTGTTAAAAGCAGAATAGTGATTATTCTTATCTTCTATGTAGCTTGTACTGTTAGGGCAGACACAACCACAGGAGAAAGAAACTGCAGGGCAGCTGTTGTCTTTAAACCAGGGAAATTTAATTTGAAGGCCATTAGCATTCTAGATGAGACTTTCAGATCACACTCACAGAACAGACTTATGACTGGGAAAATAAGGGGGCTGAAGAAAGTGGGGAGCAATGGAGAAGATGGAAACAGAGTAGTGTTTGAGGCTGTGCAAGGCATAAATGTTGAGACTGAAGTATTTTGCTTAAGTGTCTTAAGCAGGTCATGGATTGCCATGCCCTCTGAAAAGGCAAAACTGCTGCTTTGCAACAATTTAAGGTTAGGGTTGAATATAAAGAAACGTTTACCGTGTCCCTGAATGTGTTTAAAAAAACACTGGATGTGGCACTCAGTGCCACGGTTTAGTCGATGAGGTGGTGTTAAGTCATAGGTTGGACTAGATGATCTTAAAAGGTCTTTTCCAACCTGTTTCTGTGATTCTGTTTTAGCAACATTTTGATACAAATACTCGAAAGACATTTCATGGTCTTTTCCTTGTGAAAAACATCTAATCTGAAGAGCTTGTGAATTAGGATTTGTTTAGTGACCGTAGGAGTATATATTTCTCTATTGCATGGCTTTCTAATATTCCTGTATGAAACAGTATCTGCATTTCTTAAATGGATAATGACACATGTTTCTATCAGTTAAAGAAGATTTTACAGGGGTAGAATCTATATTCTGTATTCTCTGTTTGGATGAAACCACAGTTGTAATACATTAGCATTGAAACGTTTAAAAATCTTTGCAGGCACACTTTGAATGAACAAACAGCAAAAGTGAATAATATTGGGACCCTAATATAATGGTCTTTATATCCCATTGGTCCTAATAGATGTTTTTTCCTGAAGATTGTGGTGGAATTTCAAGTGACCAGGAAATACGTTTTCCAATCAATGTTTGCGTTTTCCAGATATTGTCGATTGTCTAGGTTATGGTTATGTGCGTGTAGTTCGTACACTCCTTCTCCTTTTTTGGCTTTTTTTTTTTTTTTTGGTTTTGCAGAGGACATGCAGCTTCTTTATGTTTTTTGCTGCCCCCCCACCCCCCCCACCCCCTTCCCCCCGGAAATTTTCTTCCCATTTCTTTTCAGGGATATGGTGAATGGACAGCGATCCAGAGACAAAAGACGTGGACTTGGCATAGCATTGTAATGGTTCTAGGGGAATTGCGGGGGGGTTGGGAGTGGGGCAGAGTTATTTTGGCAGTTTCTTCGCCTTGGACCTCTCCTGCGCAGCGGCTTTGCAACAGTGCCGTGGAGCTCCGCCCGCCGCCGGTTCTGACTCTGTTGCTTTTAAGAGAGCAAGGGAGTCCCGGCTGCTCCATTGACTGGGACTTCGCCGGCTGCCGGCGCCGAGAGAGACCAGCACAATCCGCGCGGGTGCCCGGGGAAGCCATTCCCTGCGCCGCCTCCCGCATGGAGCAGCGGCTCCGCGCGTCTTCTCTCTACGGCAGGGCGACACGGCGGCAAAGCCCTGCCGCCCTTCCCAGCGCGGACAGGCTGCCCTCAGCGATGCCGAAGACCGATCACCGCTCGCCCGGGTGCGTGAGGGAGCCAGTCCTTCTCCCCTGTCTCTCATCAGAGCTGCCGTCACCAGCAGGGAGGTCCCGTGGCAGGAGCAGCGCAGCCCCTCCGCCTCCACGCGGGCCTACAGCGCCCCTTGTCGGTGGTCGTCGTTACTACACCAAAGGGGAAATGCTTGAGGGGCGGGCAAAGGCCGTTACTGGGTTTGCTTCTTGTCGCTGCTGCTGGTTTTTGTTGCGTGTTGTTTTGTACGTATATGTAGTCTAGTTAAGGACTGTTATTCTTTTTTCTATATCTTTGCCTGGAAGTAATTTCGAAGTCATAGTAATTTGGAGGGAGGGGGTGATCTTTCTATTCCAGGGACATTCCCGTTTTCCAAATATCTGTCTTTTAAAGCAGGACAATGCTATTGTCAACAGATTATGTCCAATGACACTTTCAAGAATTTGACAGGTCAGAAAGGGGACTGCTGTTGAGCCCATAAGTTCCTTAAGGAGAGGGGCTATCTGCACGTGGAAGAGAGATAAAAACCACACCTGCAGAAAAAAATAAAACAGAGCCAGCTCTGGTGCTGTGGTCCTCCCCATGTGTGCCTTGTCCTATGATGTTCTCAGTATAGTACTTCTTTCCCTGGCAAATCCTTAATAAACAAACACATTTATTCTTCTTCTATGGTACTTTTCTTTCACATATGTTCATGAGTTGAAACTATTAGGATCTCTGCGTGTGGTGATGTGGAGAGAATATGTGTCACTTATTAATGAAGGGTCATTTTTGTCTTGTACTTTTATTTTCTAGATATTTCAATATGATGATGAAAGTTCTCTGTGTAAAGATATCCCTTCTTTGGAAATAAAAAAGCTGCAGGAACAGAATGCCAGCCTTCGGGCTGCTATTGCACAAATGAGGAAAGAAATGGAGAGTCTTGATGAGCAGATGTCTTCTCTTACTCTAACAGAAGACAGACAGCTTGCAGAGCAAGGTGACAATTCTTGACAAAGAACTTGAAATTCAGTTAAGGAAGTTTAGCAGTCATGGTCACAATTTATGAGGGCTACCAAATCCATGACTGTGTAAAAATTGTTATTGTGGGCTTTTCAAAATTGCACCATACACAAGCACACAGTAGTCTGAGATTCTGTATTACAAATTACTACAAAACAATTATTAGTGAAAACAAACACACACACGCCCCAACACACACGCGCGCGCTGTAAGTCAGTACAAAATTACCACTAGAAAAGCAATCGTATATATTTTGCAAGAGTAAAGCAATTATATGCATATTTCAAGTTATGACAGAATTCCTGATAGTGAAGCCAGTGTGTAGAGTCACTGAATGGTTTGGATTAGAAGGGATCTTTAAAGATCACCTAGTCCAAACTCCCCTGCCATGAGGGTTCTTGAAGAAAACATGGTAGATTTTGGACGACAGCCACCTGATGTAGCTATTGGTGTTGATTGTCAGTATAGTGTCAAACGCACTCTACGAGGACTGCAAAATAAACTCAAGGCAGCAGCAAGAAAAATATCAATTCTGAGCCAAGAAAAGCAGCAGCTGACTGAAATGGGAAACAGCCTCAGGGCAGAACTTGGAATGGTGTTAAAGGAAGGTAAAGTTATTCTAACTGAAAGTGCTAGCTTATATATTTAGAATAAAAATGGGGGAATCAGCTCATCCTTTGAGCTGGAGAAAGCTAGGCTTCATTATAAATTAAAAAAAGGTGCTGGACCTGACTGATCCTTGGTCTGCATACTCATGTGAGACTGTGGCACTAAACCCTGCAAGTTTATCCTGTGGTAAGGGATGCTAAGATAGAACAATGAGAGTCTGTATGTAGCGACTTTTGTTGATAAACGTATTAGATTAAGAACTCCCTGGTGTCTAGATGTCAGTGTGGGAACTGGAACTTTACTTTAAGGCTTTGTTTATGAGCAGAAAAGAGGTAATCTATCTCTTGGAATAAAAACTAATGCTTTAGAAAAGTGGAAGAGAAAGCAGAATAAGCTTACTGTAAACTTGAATTAAGAGTGTGTATATATAATGTAAAAAGATTTCACTGTGGACATTTAAGTTCTGTGCAGAGTTTTTCTGGCAATGAAGTAAAGGGAAAAAGCACAGTGCCCATTTTTGCATAGCATTGAAGCCATCTGCAATGAGAAGACCTGTGTTCTGTGCTTCATTTATTATCTGCTCTAAACTCTCACTGGAAATATAATGTTGTTGACAAAATATCAACAAAGAATGCCTTCCTCAGTATATTCTCTCCTCTATAGGACTCTGGCATCCTGTTAGCTCTAAACACTGCACAGTTTGTGTTGCCTCTGGTAGTCTTCTTCCAAGAGAACTTGTCAGAAGAACACAGTGTCAACTGTCAGTTCTAAAGCATCTACAGCACAGACTCTCAACACAGGTAATTATATGCTGTTTGAAATCTAGCGATCAGAAGCCATTAAGCCTCTTCTAATTCCATGAATGTAACTTAAAATTCTGTATTTAAATTACTCTAAGTTTAGCTCCAATCTATCTTTGGGAGATTCCACAGAATCATTGCATATGTGGAGCTGGAAGGAACCCATGAGGATCTTTGCATCCTGATGTCACACAGGACAACCTAGAAGTTAAGCTGTTGAACTTAGGGGCATTGTCCCAAATGTTTTTTGAACACAGAAATGCTTGGGGCCATGACCATGCCCTGGGGAGATTGTTCCACTGCCTGACCACCCTCTCAGGGAAGAATTGTCTGAATTTCCTCTGATGCAGATTTAAGCCATTCCTCCATATCCTATCCCTGGACACCAAAACCAAAAATCAGCACCTCCTACTCTCCTTCCTCATCACGGAAGGAAGTTATAGAGAGCAATGAGGTCATCTGCTAGCCTCCTCTTTTTTAAGCTGAACAAACAAAGTATCCTCAGCCATTCCTCACAAATCTAGTCATCTAGTCTTCTTGCCATCTTAGTTGCCCTCCTTTGGACTTTTTTTCTAATATTTTTCTCATAATGTGGAGCCCAAAAATGCACACAATACTTGAGGTAAGGCCATACCAATGCTGAGCATAGTGGGACATTCACTTCTTTTGGCTGGTTAGCTGTGCTGTGCTTAACACACCAAGGACACAGCTGGCACTCCTGGCCACCAGGACACGCTGTCGACTCACGCTGAGCTTGCCAACAATCGAAACCCCCAGGTCACTTTCTTCAGGGCTGCACTTCCACTCTTGATCCCTCAGGTGTATACAGACATCCATGACTAAAGTCCCAGGTACAGAATCCAGCTTTTCCAGCTTTTTTGCTCTCATTAAGTTTCCTGCGGTTTGTGATTACCAAGCATTCCAGCCTATCAAGATCCCTTTGCAAGGTCTCTCTGCCCACAAGGGAACCAATGAGTCCTCATTTAGTATCATCAACCAACTTAGTGTACATTCGACTCGTGTGTCCAGGTCATTGATCAAAGACTGGAGAGAACTGACCTTAAAATAGAGCCCTGGGAAATACCATGAGTGACCAGCCAGAAGCCAGGTGATTCCCTGTAAGTTTAACGGGTTTGGGACTTCAAAAGTAGTATTTTCAACATGGTCTTCAGCCAAGGTATTTCAGAAACACATGTGTTTATGCAGCATAAATGCAATCCTAAATTACAAGTTTTATAAGGCTTGGTTTTAAGTAAGCAAGAAAGAACATAGTGCAAATCCTTCAAATGGCCTAACATAAACTTTAAAATGGTTAATCAGCGAGGATATTTCCAAATACTCACAGTGGTGGGATTTTAAAGCACTCATGTCCAAATAAGCGTAATAGCACCTTTTCCATATATGAGAACAGGATATATAGTTAACCTGTCTCATATTTTGTAATTAAAATACAACCTTTAATAGTTAAATTTCAGCTTTTATCAGAGAGACTAATGAATAAATCCTGGCTTTCCTAGTAGTTAGTGGCAGACCTCCCAGTTACTTCGATACTCTGGATTTTGCTATGTACTGTACTAAATTGATCAGCAGATTTGTTCCTGTGAGGATTAAGTCCAGTGCAGTGATTGTCATTGTAGTTTTGAAGGAAGTAAACCGTGTTCTTTCAGAAAGGGTAAGGTTGTTGCTCTGATGTATAAAACTCTACTAGAATTATTAACCAAGTTTAGCTGGGGAAACACTTTCTCTGGGAGCCCTTCTGGGCAAGTTGTTGTGGTGTTTGGTCACCCTCACAATAAAGGTGGCTGTCATTTGGTTGGGGTTTCCTTTCCCCTTATGCAAGGTGTCCAGTACTTACCTTTTTGCCCTTTGTCACTTGGTCTTCTGCCATATACCATTTGAGAAGATTCCAACTCAGTTATTGTTATTTCCTTTTAAAATCCTCATCAGATACTTATACATGTTGAAAAGATTACTCTTAATCTATCTGTTCTGGAGGCCAGCAAGGCCAGATGCTTCTTACATCCAGGCTGTTCTGTACTCTCATTCCAGGCTTCTCTTTACTCAAAATATACCCGTAGAGGCTTCAGCTCCTACACTAAAGCTGAGCTCTTGATTGACTTTCCAAAGATTACTATTATTCTAGTTTGGATGGTTTTGTTCTAGGTGATCACTCTTACTGGCCAGGCTATATTTGCTCCTGCATTACAAGGTCTTCATCCTTATAAAAAAAGACGATAATTTATTACTTTAAGAACTACAGGAATGTCACTGTCAATTACTTTGCGTAATGGGCTCACGTTTTGTTTTTTTTAGTCTTAAAAATTGAAGTCTTTTGTTATATATTTATTTGCATCTGCTTTGGAAGGACTGAAGCAGTTTGCTTTTCATCAAATCTCACTAAGTTGCTACAAGTTAAAAGATGATGAAACTTTAAGTGGTAGTTTATTTTAGCTGCTGACAACTTTTCTATAGCTGCTTTATTTTAGTTGGGGTTTTAGATATTGTTTTGGACTTCTTCTTCTGTAATTTAATCATGGCAAAATACAAAAGTGAAGAAGGACCCTGACAATATAAGCTTGAGCAACAAGAAAGGTGATAGTAACAGCACCAGGAAATGTAGATTTTGAACAGATTTGATACTAGGTTTTCTAGAAAGGTAGTTTGGCCCTGTTGATCTGAAGGGAACATGATTTTGTTTAATATTATTTATAACTGGTTATTTTAAATCTAGCAGTGTAACAGCAAACGGAGCTATAAGGGGTCTGTTTTAGTGACCATGAGTTCCTTGTGTCAGTGTAATATTTCACGTTAGGAGCTGCAGTGTGCAGGGCAACAGCATTCTTCAAGGTTCTCTTCTTTTACTGCCTGCCCTAGCTTAAGGGAAGAAGCTCCAAGCAGCTATGGGGAAGAAACAGAATTACTATCTGCTGAGGTAAAGTGCAGTTTTATGATCAATGTAATTCACCTTCATTTGGATTTTTCAATTTGAATTGCTCAGCAGTAATCTCCTGGAAGACTTAAAAACCCATGTCTTTTTAAAGTTATGCATTATTCCTGTGCAAAATAGTATTTGTTAACACTAGATAAACTAGGGTTTCTCAATCACTACCGTGATGTTGTAATTAATCTTCTTGTACAACCTTTCAAAATTAAAAATAATAATTTTCTTTTGTCTTGCCTCTTGCTGAAACCTTCTGTCTTTCCAAGTCCAAGATGCCACTATGAGATGTAACCAATTTTCTGATGTCTTTGATGTGAAAAGTATGTATGTCTGTAAGATTGTTTGAATTCGAACAGGTTCGGCTAGACTCCTCTATTGAAAATCATGGGCCAGATACATTCTCAGCAACAAAGGCAGATACATGCACAAAGATTGTTCAAACTCAGCAGCTCAATCAGAGTCCTAATCAAGACCAGCAGGTCCAGCTTTCTTCATCTGGAGCACATAATTTCTGTCAAATTTTAGATACAGGATCAAGCCGTTCTCTACAAAGTCCTCAAAAGAACACCAGCCAGGGTAAGCCTTCTTTGTAAAGCAGTCACAATATTTGGCTCTTCTGGAAGTGTGGAAGTGCAGTGAATTCTGTCACTGTTCACTAATTCTTTTACATACTGCTCCTGTTGTTAGAGTCCTATGATCAGAATCTGAATGAGTTACTTGAAGGGAATTTCACAGTTGCCAGCAGAAGTAAGAATTAAGAGGAATGTCTATATAGCTGTCTGGTTTAAATGCCATCATTGCAAATACTTTTTCACTTTTATTAAGTACTCCTGTAAAATGCAAAATCTGTTTTGACATAAGCTAAAAATTAGCTGGGGCAGATATAAAAATGTCTGTTTGAGAACTGCACACTTCATGTGTCGACAAGTGATTGTTTGATCAAATTGTAATTTGCAAATCCTTGTTTAATTGTTATTTTTTTGGCTGGTTTATAGCTACAATACTGCTTAGTGTGCTAAGACCTAAAAGCCAGAGGTGACATCACAGGCATAATGCTGGTATATGCTGTGGGGATTCTCTAGAATTTTATAGTCCACTGCAGCAAGTTGCAACGGGAAAAAATAGAAGCAGGCACAAATTTTTATATGTGAGACAGTGTCGGGGTTAGGATGACAAAGGCAAAACCTAGGTCATAGACTGAACATGAATTTGTGTTATACGAGTACAAAAATCACCACATGTTCTAGGAAATTTTAGCAAGAGCACGACTTATAAAATATGAGCAGTAAAGTGTAGCCTCTTTACAGGGTAAGTTGTTAAGGAACTCTTTAATGGCAGATATTATGTTGAGCAGTGTATTGCAGCTTAATGTAACGTATTTCAAACTATTGGTCTGTTCATAAAGTAATCCTTCATTGTCTAAACTTTGGGAAACTAACGCCTGCTAGTGTTAGGACAAAAAATAATGGGCTTACATTACAATATGGGGAAAATTTTAGGGATAGTTAATAGTGGAGTATGTCTATATATAAAGATCTTTTATAAAGAAAGGTCTACAATCCCTCTAGGGAACAAACACTTCTCCAGAATGTTCCAGTAGAAGTGGTCTTTGTTTTGTTTTTTTTAATAAGAAGTGTAGCTTTCAATAAGTTATTTCTCAAAATGCTGCAGGGCTTATGTGAGTTGTGATATTATTTTTATCATCATTATTCCTGAGATCTGACAGTATCTGTACAGTAATATGGTAGCCATTTAGAGTTTTCAAATGAGCTGTATTACCATTACATAGATATTCATATGCTATTAATCACATACAGACTGCAGGAACAAGAATGCAATCACTGGGTTAAGGGAAGTGATTTGTTCCCCTCAGTTTGGTACCTGTGAGGCCGCTGTGTCCACCTTTGGACCCTCTTGAACTAAAGACTGACAAACTGGAGTCCAGTGGAGAGCCAGTAAATGGCTGGGGCACAGGAACACATTACACGAGAAGAGGTTTAGAGAACTGGATTGTTCAGTGTGGAAAAGAGTTGGTGAGTGGTCTGATTGCTGTTTTTTAACTACCCAGTGAGGGATTTTGGAGAACACAGAACCAGACTCTTAGGGGTACACAGTGAAAAGTGGCAATGGATACGAGTTGTGTCAACATTCTGAGCAGGGAGTGATAAGCACTGTGACATTTCACCCACAGGTCCTATCCAGCCTAAGTTACATCTATTTTTAAACCAGTGTATGGAGACAATGAACCATCTTTAGTAGCTCACAAGAAAAAATAATACTTAAAAGGGCTTTCAAAATGAAGAGCGGATTATCAGTGTATTTATTCACAACAGCAGTGCATTGCAGGGACAAAGTAATATGCATTGACAGACCTGTAGGACTGGAATGGACATAGTGCTTGCACTCATTATTCATGTGCTTTTTTTTTTTTTTTTTTGTGAGGCTAGGACTGAAATAGGAAGAGTATTTCAGGTCAGGCCTATATTGACAGGATAAGCAAAAGTATGTCTTTGAAACATTACAGATAGTGCCATGCAGTTTCGTGCTGTTGTATGTGTGGTGCAACAGCTCTGGCAGCCTTACAAGGACATCAGTTTCTTAATGTCTAGAAATTTCCAGCCACTGTTGCAAAACTTAATGTAGATTTTTAGGGATCTAGAAATAGCAAAAGGGACAGAGGATACTGCCAACGTGGAACAAGTGAAATGTGAATCAATAAGGGATAATGTTTTCCTGAGACCAAGTTTAATTTGGTCTCTGCATCCAGATTAATATGAGACACATCAGAGTGGAACCTTTTACTCAAACATGCAGGCCCTGAAATACTGCATTGCAAGAATATGATTTTTAAACACTCTTTTTTGCTGCTTAGCTTTTTCCTCCAGGAAAAGGTGTCCTTAATTCCACTGGACTGAATTCTATATTTCAGAAAATAATTATGAAAGCAAAGTCTTTCTTTTTTTGGAACAACATCACCTTTTAAGCATTATATAGAAAACTTTCAAATTCTGCATCTGATGATTTTTAGCAGAAGCTTGTATTATTTTTCAGGCCTGAGCTATGGAAATTAATTCAATCTTTCCTGTTTAAAACCACTCACTTGAATTTAATATATTCATCAAATCCATTGTTACAATGCCTAGAAGGGTCATTGAGACAGAGTGATTTGGAACCAGTCACACTTGTAGCCGCACACAAGTGACGCACGCTTGGAAGCTCAGTGACAAAATGTGGTTTGCAACAAAGCACGCAAGTTAGTTTGCTTATTCAGATATATTTTTTTCCCCGAAGTTTAACTCTATCTAAATTGATAACACCAGTAGATGTGTTTTGTGGGAATTTCTGGTGAAACAGAGAACTGTAGCATGAAAATGACTTTTCTGAACCTGTTGAACAGTTTCATTTTTTTCATATTGCATTTACAAAACAGCCTACTTGCACTCAAAATGGTTGGCATGTCAAGTAAGTCCTGCAATTTGCTGCATTTCCAACATTACACAAAGCAATGACTAAATGTGTTTTAAAGAATTAATGACTACATCTTAATTACTGAAGTGGACTGTTATATACTTTATTCATTTCACCATCAAATTCAGACCTTGTGTAAGCTTCTAAGCAAGTCAAAAGGCTAGGAGATATTTTAATTTTCTCTCTCCTCACTCTGGCTGCTAATTTTCAGTGTTCTGTAGAAATTAGATGGATTTCATAGGTTGTGTGTTAACTCTGCAGATAAGTGGAAGGAAGGTCTTTAGAAAGATCATAGGTCCCTTCTTCAGGTATTTTTATTGTTCTGTATTACTGAAAGAAAAATAACCTCCTAGAGATAGACAGGTACAAGCCATGATGACATTAAAAGACTACATAGGATGCATAGGCTGTAAAAGTAAGAAATACACCTCTTTATTTCTCTACTTTTTAAATTCCCTATCCCAGAGGTTGAGAGCAGATGGAGATTTTGATTGATGATCCGTATCATATGCACCTTGAGTGCTGATGACAAGCCACCCTCAAAGGAAAGTAGAGCCTTTTCTGATTTTTAGAGTAAATGTTAGGCAGGGGGAAGGGAAGCTTTGTAAAACATTTGGAGAATGGACATTTATTTTCTTCTTTTTATCTTGATAAACTTACTATTTGCTATTGAAGATACTAGTTTTTCAGAGGGGAAAGAAGCAAACATCACATATTGAAGTTGAGCTGTAATACTGCATTTAGTACTGTGAAGGGTGCTGTGTGGTACTGTGTGAAAAGCTCCTTATTAGCTCCAGTCAGCTATCCTTGGGTCAGCAGAGGCTGGGGTCAATGCATGGGGAATAAGGGTGTAAGGAAAGCTGTGTCCCCACTAGTCACTTGACTTGTACATATTTAATGTAGATGAAACTTTGTATTTTCACGTCCCACTACATGTTTTTGAGAAACCTCACCACCAGAAGTACTCAGAACTGTGTTCTGGGTTTAATAATTTGAGTTTACATTGTAGCCTAACAAAGAACGAGAGTGAGCTGCTTTGAGGTAAAGTAACTTTTTTGATTTACTACTTGAACTTAGATAGGGGAGTTTCTTGTACTGTAATTCTCACTCGCAAAGCACTGTCATCTGAAATTCCACACTTAATGGATCAAAAGTTATCTTAAGTGTTTCCACACTAGACAGAATTTCAACAGCTTTGACATCATTGACAGTTCTGAGAGCAATCCATGTGAGTAAAAAGCTGGCCAGAGAAAGAATCTGGTAAAATATTAACAAACAGAAACAGTGCTCTGGCTCTGGCTTCATTCCAGCTCCAATCAGAGAAAGACTCATGATCTCTTTTCTGTGTTACATAAAACTTCAACATTGAAGTGTTTCACAAATATTAACTAATGCCCTAGCTGCATTTTCTTCATTTCTATGTTCTTCTCCTGAATAGGAACTTGTTTGAATTGTTGTTCCTTCAGAAGCACTGTTAGCCGTAAGCCAATATCTAGTGACAAATTTCTTAAATGAGACTTCCATCTGAGGAAATTTCAGTTTGCCTATACAACATGTCTACATACATCTCTTTCCTCCTGAGGGAAAAAAAAAAATCCATGAATGTTAATTTCTGACTGAGGTTAACATGCATCAAATAGAAGATATGTTAAGGATTTCAATACATTTGGTTTGGTTCCATTTTCAAAAGAATTTTGTGTGCTTAGCTATGATCTTGCTAGCTCTGGTTGCTATGGTCACTTCTGAAAGTAAGTTACAGGCTTGTAAATTAGGTGGGGTTTTTTTTCATTGGTGTGCAAACCAAGCTGCTGCATATAAATAGTATTTCTAATTCTGGGGTATTGATTCTTTCTCTTTTCCTAATTTTTGGAACTAACCTTACATATTTTAAAACTAACAGTGGTTGGTTTTAAATTTGTGTGTTAATACACATTTTTGATGGTCCAAAACTTAAAAATAGCCATACAGAATGCTTGTGTTCTGTGCTGTTGTTCCAAATACCTCACTAAGTAGCCTTTAATAGTTGCAATTATAGTTTCTCTAATAATGACAGGAGACAAGCATACAAATGTCTTCACAGGCAGAGATGTGTGTGATGCACTGGTGCTTGGTTACTTTGCCTTTGGAATTACATGATTAGGGCCTCTCACGTCAATTTCTGAAAGTCATCTCCTTGGGTGAATAAAAAAGGCCCTTGAAAACTAAGTATTTTTAAAAAGACTGTTCGCACACAGTTGACACTGCTTACAATCTGTGGATCTGCTCATTCCTGTTACTTAGACCACAAACAAGAAATAGTATTATTCTGCTGCTGTTCCTGTTCAAGAAAGTAATCTTTGAAGCAATACCTTTCAAACACTGCTGCCTGCACTTTCCTAAATGGTTGATGTTGTGAAATTCTGCCTTCTTATCGGCCAGATGTGGTAGAGGTACTCTAATGATTAAAGTCCATTTCCTGGGCAGGAAAATACACCCAATGATCTTCATGGGCTCAAGCATCCTCTTCCGTACCTCCTACATCTGTAGGAAGCCACTAGGTGGCAAGCTCGACAGCAGGATTTCACATCCACAGCTCAAGTCACCAAATCCATCAGCCACCGAGCTGATTCAGTGCATAGATCATATGCATAAGTGAAAGCTGGTTCAAGTGAAGCCTGTGGATAAAAATTGTTGTGAAAAGTGTCACATTTTGACACCAGCCATAGTGTCATGCTTTGTATGAAGCTATAAATCTTAAATCAATCCATTCATTCCATAATTCAGGAACATGTTGTATTTCCTTTGATATAGAATTTTGTTTAGGCTTTGCACCATTTTCAGTTGACTTTGAAAATTTACCTTATACTAGTAACTGATCTTTGTTAATTTGTACACCTTTTATTCATGCTGTGATTGTAGTATCTGGGACTGCCGACTATGATACTTAAAAAATTAAACGAGTGCAGAATAACATAGTGTGTGTTATCTCTAGTCTATTATGACTACTTCTGCTGTCTGCTTTGGCTCTCCATAGAAAATCTGAAGTGAAAGTCTCAATGCCTTGAAAAGTAAGGGTTAAGTGGCTGGAGCCAAACACCTGTAAATGTTACCTATAGTTTACAGTGAATAATGCGATTGAACAGTTCCACTTATCTAAAGAAACCTGTGATAAGACTGAAGTTCAGTTAGTTGGAGATAATAGTTTTTGGAGAATTATGTGAGAACTGGAAGATGGACTCTGACTGCAGTCCCACTGCTTCCCAAGCAAAGCTGTTTCTTTTTGAGTTATTCCCTTCTGGCAAGACAGATATTTTAGACAACAAAACCAAAGATCTACACACTAAATGCTTTTCTAAGTGAGAGATGATTGAAAAAGGACCCAAAAGATAATGGTAGTAATGCAGCTTTGTCAAGCCAACAGCATTACCTCTGAACCTTTTAAATCATACCTATCTAAACACATTTTCTCACAATGGAGAGAAGAGTAAACTTATATGATGTTTTAAAACAGTCGAAGAGAAAGGTAGTGCTTGACTTGAACTGTTACACTGACCTTCCAGCTGTCTTCCTCTCTTAAGCAGTCTGGTGATAATGGAGAATGAATATGTACAGATCAAGTGAGGATTGAGCAGAAGATGCTGTGTTATTCCATTACTATGGCAAGCCTTACTGGACTCTTCTGGGCTCCTACATATAGAAATGGTCCTGGTATTTTAAGATTTTGACAATGTGGCACTATGGCAGCAGTATATTTAGAGGAAAAGAGGAAACCAACTCTCTTCAACTATCCAGTCTCATAATTTAATACAAACATAACTACAAAGTATTTTTCTGTCTGTTTTTTGAGCAGTGGAGTTTGAAGTTGTACATTCAATTGAGCAATCTGAAGAATCACGGCAAAATGTCAAAGCCAAGGATAAACTTGAAACATCAGCTGAAGATTTGACAGTCAGAGGAACAAGGCTGGAAGTTCAGCAGAAGTTAAAATCCAGGAGTTTATCTTGTGTTCATCTATTAAAACCAAAAGTCTCTTCTAGCATGGCAAAAATCCGCAATTATAATATTAAAGACTGATTTCTATGTTGACAGAGTGTTATAGGTTCACGCTTGCTATTTACTGACTTTGACATCTCTACATCAGGTCTAATTATCAGCCTCAGTTTTGTATGTCAGGTTGAGATATTTGCAGCCAGAAGAGAGAACAAGTACCCTGTTTCATACAGTGAAGCCTCAAATAAAGGGTTAATCTGTGGACATTATGAGATTAGTCTTCATTGTTAATACTGATTTATTTTAATTATATATGTTAAGATTTTCTTGCATCACGGATTTAGAAATGCCCAGTTAACACATAGGTAAAGCCCTGTGCCTTCAGGCAGGGCTTGCAGGACTTTAGCAGATGTTTTGTTGAGAAACTCTAGATGTGATTTAAGCTTAGAAGTGAGATGCCTCAACCTACTTGTCTTCTTTAAATAACAATGCAACCGTTAATCCTGTGCAGCTATCTTTCTACTTGAAAGAAAGGGGTTTAAAAATATTACATCTGAGTCTGTATTCTTTCTCATCTTCTGTAGCTTTCCACTTGCTCAGAGAGCATCAAAGAATATAAAGTTAAATTTCTGTTGTCACACCAGTGCTTGTATTTTCCCTTGGCAAGAGATTGTGTGGACTTTAAAGCAGTGAGAAACACTGCTACCGTGTTAGAATCATATACTCAATAATACAGACATGTTGTAAGAAGTCTTAAAACAGATGAAACTAAAAGAAAACTTGAATGACTTGTGAAGTAACAAAGGACAGCCATGTAGCAATGACCACGCCAGGACACTAATACAAGTAATCAATGTATTTTTGTAGCATTTCCAGTAATGCTGAGCGGTCCTGGGATATTACAGAGAAGAACTTTCCTATAAGCAAAGGAAATGCACATGAAAAATTCAAGAAAAAATGTTTAATTGTGGGAATGGTCAAGCACTGGAACAGATTGCTTAGATGGGTTATAAAGTCTCTGTCTAGAGAGATACTCAAAACCCAACTGGATGTTGGCCTGGCCAGACTGTTCCAGCTGGCCCTTGAGTTGAAGGCTTGGACTAGGTGATGTCAAGAGGTACCTTCCAATCTAAAGGATTCTGCAAGTGGTATCTTTCTTAATTCTTAATTGCTGCTAAACACATAAAATCTAAAAAGGATAAAGTGAAGGAAGAGAACTACTTACTCATGAGCATCTTTTTTTTTCTGGAGTGGTTTTTTATAGAAATGCTTTCCTGATATTCTTTGCAAAGAGATGTTCTCTTCAGCACCTGATAATGTGGTAGTAAATTGTTTGAGATTTTGAATAATTATTTTGTACTACCTGCTGAAAATATTTTGCTTTAGTGCAAAGGTGCAGTGATGTTATAATCAGATGCTAAATCTGCAAGAAATTTCATGAGATGTTACTAAGCCAATATAAAGTCTGAGAGACCTTGTGAGCTTCTTTCTAAATATTTTCATTACTTGAAAATCCTGTCATTTGATTCAACATTGTTCATGAGCCAGGACAACATGATGCACTCTCTTGAACCAGGCCCTGAATGAGCTCTTTCTGTAGCACAAAGCATAGTGGTTTCTAACAAGTACAGGAATTTTGGCCCAGATTGCACCAGTTAAAGTATTCACTGGTTATTTCTAGAACTCAATGTGTAGATTCCAAATTTTATAATAGCTGTAGATCATCCTGAAAATTTTTTTGCTATTTCCATGTTTAATACTGACCTATAGAGATGGACAACAGCTCAGTGGTATGAGATTCTGTTCATGTGTTAAAAGCACTGTAAAAGAGCAGTTTGTCCCATGATATTTGTAATACTGCATCTGAACCTGGAAAACATTTCTCTTTATTCCTTACACTGTAGGTGTAAACTGATGGGCTGCAGACTTCAGAAATACCTTTTTGTAGGTTTTTATGCAGGTTTCTATGGCTTTTGTTGTTTGCTTGTTTGACGGTTTTCTGGTTTTGTTTTTTTTTCTTTTTTTGTGGTTGTTTGGTGTGGTGTCCCACTTACTCCCCCTCCCATGTCACCTGGCATGCCTGTTCATGCAGATCTCTTGCCAGTAATGCAGCTTTAATTTATTCCGTTTCCCTGAGAAACAGGTTTCCTTAAGTCAACTGTAGGTAAGGAAAGATTGTATTTTCCCTTGACAAGAGATTGTATGGACTTTAAAGCAGTGAAAAACACTGCTGGGTTGTTTCAATAGCTGGGTTGTTTAATTTTATTTTACTTGTGGTAGAAAAAAAAGTAGTTCAGTTATTGTACATTTGTTTCAGTTATTGTACATTTGTTTCTGAGAACATAGCATGTAAGTATGAAAATTAACAACACATGCATAGTAATAAATAATAATAAATAATACTAACATACTGCTTAAGATCCTGCATGGGGATCATAAGAGTGTACTAAATACAGCAGGAAAATTCTCTTATGACCAAAATGTTTAACAAACTGGGCACTGATTTCTAAGAACCAGATTAGAAGAGTGGTAGCAAGGTACTACTGTGGATACTATTGAGTTGCACAAAGAAAGGAATGCCTATAAAGAAGAGAATTCAGGCAGACCGGAGAGTACTGAAAAGACATTATTTATTGTTGTTCTTATCAAAGGCTTAAAAACCTGTTATGCTGAGGAATGTATAGATAAAGGCAAAAGGTCTGGCCCGAGAAGGTCGAAATGGAGCTGTATTGAGAAGCGGCAGTGCAAGCGCTACCCGGGAGTAGGGCCTCTGCCCAGAGCCAGTTCAAAGCCATGAACGAGACACAATGCAGGGGGCTTTCTTCTCTCCCCGCTCAAGCCCACGTTTGCCGACCGAAAGGCTTTTCTGTTTCGGAGTTGCAGTCGTAGGCAATACAGAAGAAAAGTCAGATTCGTTACTCTTCGGGTTTAACTGAAGAAGTGCAAGTTACAAGGAAAGTGGATGAAAGGTGCCCACACGCAGAGCGATCCGCCCCGTTCCGTCGCTGGGCGGGGGGCGTAGCGGGGGCACGGCGGGGAGGGAATCTCTGGCGCCCGCCCCTCCGCCTCCGGCCTCGCTCTGCTGCCGCCAGTCAGAGCGGCGCGACGGGCCTGGGCACGGGGCAGCGCATCCCTGCCCGGCGTGCCTGCTGCCCTGTGGTAACCCCGGCACCGCGCTCCGCCGGGGTGAACGACCGCCGCTGCCGGAGAGCGAAGGGAGCTGATCGCTCTGGCGGCGGCCCCAGCCACCCCTCAGCCGTCACCACATCGCCTTATCGCCTAGCAACACCGCGCGGGCCCCGCGATTGGCAGGGCCGCGCCCCCGCCCACGTGCCCCCGCCTCCGCACTGGGTGCCGTCCCGGGATTGCGCGTCCGGCCCCGCGTCCCTTCCCTTTGTGCGCCGCGGGTGGGCACGGGCACTGTGCGATCCGACCGCGCTTGGACCGGCGCCCGCCGAGCCACGGTGCGGGCACGGCGCGGCCGTACGCCCTACAGTGTACCTACCAGCGAGGAGGTGGGAGAGGGACACGAAAACTCCGCGCCCACGGGGGGGGTCGGCGCTGCCTCGTCCCCGGCCACGCCAGCCCATAGCCAGGCACGCCCACAGCGCCTGGCCTTCCACGGCCTCCAGTTCGGGGCGGGGCGGGGCGCGAGAGCTTGGCCCGGTGCCACGGGCAAGGGGGCCCGCCTGTGTCCGCCCGGCCTGGCCAGGGTCCCCTCCTCCCGTGGAGTGGCTCCGGCGGGCAGAGGTTGGCATCACCCCGGGTCTGACCGGGGCGGTCCTGCCCCGGCTCTCATTGGACTGCGACGAGGCGTAAACTGTCAGCCCATGTGGCGTGGCCGCTGGAGGTGGCGACTGCTTAAATAGCTGTGGGAGCTAGAGGGAGACAGTGAGGAGAGCGCGGAGTATCGGCCGTGCGCAGCTCGGCACCAGCCGCCGCAGCGTCCACCCGCAGCGCCCACCCCGCAGCATCCCGATCCCGCACTGAGCTGACGACAGAGTCTTACCGACACGAAGCCATCCGCACCTGTGCAGGTATCGGCGGAACAGCGGGTGCGGCGTGGTCAGGAGAGCGGCAGCTCCTGCTCCAGGCTCCGCGGGCCGCTGCGCCCCGCGGGTGCGCTGGGGAGGCTCCATCTTGCCCTCTACGCCGGGTGGGCGATGTGGGTCCGTGGGCTCGGTCTGCGCGACCGGAAGGTTCTGCTCTCCAGCCCTGGGGTCGCCGCGCCCTGTTGCTGCGGGCCGCTCTCCCGTGGCCCAGCGCGGTCGTTCTGGGGAAGAGTCCCCCCACCTCAGCGGCTGGGTACCGCGCCGCAGCTTCCCACTCCGCCCGACCGGCAAGGTGGCTGCATTGTGGTGCTGGCGCTCGGCCATCTTGGCGGCGAGCGGGGACCGTGCCACAGCCACGACCCCTCGCCGCCGGGCCGAGCGGGATCGGGGGCGCGGCCGGGCCCCGCTGCCCGCAGTCCTCGCGCTGCCGCAGCTCGGGCGCCGAGCACCGCCCTGCCTCGGGTGGGCGCCGGGGCTGGACGGGCCGCTGTGCCCGGGCCGCGGGGCGGCGGCGCTGCGCCCTCCGCGCCGGCCCGGGTTAGCGCAGGCACGGTCGTGGCAGGCTGAAGAAGCTTGTAAGAGAGGAGCTCGGCGCTCGATGTTGGGAAGGGAGACTTGCCAGTAGGTTCTCGGAATCCATCTGAGAAAACGTGCCGTGTATACTGCGAAACTATTTTTTTCCCACATCGGCATAAGCCAACGGCCCACACAAAATAGCCCGGTGATGGCACACCAGTATGGATTTGATGATGCGATTCTGTTAGTAACGTGATCATCTTCTCTCTTTGGCTGTTTTTGCACCTGTCTGGTTCTTATTCCACCTTCCTTCCCTGGCATACGGCCGTGTAAGATACTGAATGCATAATTTCCTAGCTAAAAGCTTTATTTGTATGCTTAAATTTAAATAGGCAATATTAAGGCTGTGTAAATTAACTTACATACTCCGAAAGACCATCTCTGGGGGCTTCGGAGCATGTTTTGTCTTAAAAAAATGGGAGAAGAAACGTCTAGCCCCATGAGCAAAGGATTCAGCTTTTCCTGAAATAAAGTGAAAAGAGTAGTACATTGTGAAAGGCTGCATTTAGTGGGTGAATTCAGAGAATGCGGGCAGTTATGAACAGAAATTTTACAAACATGATATAGTCATACTTGGGACTTAGATTTTTATACACCTAACTTCTGACCACTTGGGAATCAACCAAGCTATGTTGATT